AGCCTCCCCTTATCTGACCACTACCATACCTGTAGATTCTGGACATAAACATCGATAGTAACACTGCCGTCTTCGTAAACTACCGCTGGATCGATAATCACCGCTGCCGACAAGCACTGCTAGACGTACAGTATCATTACCGTATCACTGCAATTTTATACAGTCAAAAGCCAACCTCTTCTCCATTGCCGCTAGTGGTGAGAATCTGTCCAACATATTCATGTAGCAGACTGAATGGGTCCGAGGCGCCATTCTGAAGACAATTCTTACGTGCGTCCACGGTAAGAATACGGTACCTGACGAGTAAGGGAATGCAGACGATCTGCAGCTACTACGAGCTGTTTCACATCCGAATACGCTATTCCCTGATTTTCACTTGGTGAATCCATTCGACCAGATGTCCAGTCATTAACGGTGGCGTTCCATAGGTCAATTAGTTCCTTATCTAGAAAACGACAACTCTTATGCAAAAAAATCGATATATCGATTTTGTCACCTTCAAACTGTTCAGCTTCACTATGCGATATGCCCACACCCAGCTCTGAATCGTCACCGATGGCTCGCAAAAACTTTTCGATGGTTTCGTTTGTCAAGGGATCAATGAGGCTTGGTGGAAAGATTTTCTGAGAAATAATCAATTATCGATTGATGCGAAGCAAATTATTTATTTCTGACCTGTATTTTTTGTACAAAATCGGAGTAAAGAGTTGCCATCCGAATGCTCTGCATATCTAGAGCGTTGAGCACTGGCAGCATAGGATTCAGGACAGCTGCCACTTGGCGGCCGTTTAGTTGTGAGAGCTGAAAAGGACGAGTTTCCCACTTTACGGGAGGACCTTCCTTTGGATATATAAATTTATGGAAAGATGAGTCTTTTCTCAAATCAAACAACTTTTTTACTATAAAAATATAGCAATCGGAACTGCTTTTCATTTGTCAAATTACAAAATTTACAAGAATTTTTCTACATAAAAATGGGCGACATTCGCGAAATTGAAATTCGTTCTCAAAATTCATATAGTGGACAAGATTTCCTTCAAAAGGGACAAGTTCTCCCTTTACAGACATATATTTGAGCGTTGCTTTCTGTTTTCCACATTTATGGGGCTCACAAGTTTTCCTCCAATATGGACGAGTATGAGTGAAGGTGGACGAGTTGTCTCATGTTGTGCAATTTCAATCTCCACTTACATGATTTATCACATCAACTGGCCCATCCGCTAACATGTACGCTGTGTGTAATCGCACACTTTGCACATCACGTCGCCGTCTATGCATGATTGGGCATTCACTCTCCAGAGATGAAACGCATCTGGAAAAAATTTTGAATTGAAAATTTTTGGCACCTTCTCCACCCTCCCTCCCCCTCTGCTCCTATAGTCCTGCACTTACTGCATAGCTTCATCGAG